AGAATTGCGAAAATATTTCTACATCAAGATAATTAGTTGAATGGTACAAAAACAAAAGACAAGTTCACCTTGCACTGCTCAATGATAAATATTGTAGCAGAAGCTGCACCTCCAAGAAACGGCACAGTATCGGACAATTCCTTCAGAAGACGAATGGAAGTTTCGGCAGCATTCAAAGTGCTATTGAAAATTTCTGTAGTCGAAATTTTCGTGTTGTATTTCGAAGTTGGGGAGCCACGAAACTTAGTCTTTAGGGAATGGAGTGTTTTCTTCATGAACGTCAAGGTAAGAAGCGCATATACTTATTTCACAGCTTTTAAGCGCTAAATTTCAGAAAGCTGTGGATATAGATTAAATCGTAACGAAAAGGCAGCTGTTCGATGTAGACTGGTCACAAAGAGCCTGCGATTATGATTGATTGCAGAACTGGAAGAAGGAAGGGAGGTGCTCGCCCACGCGGCGGGTGGATTTGGAACGAGCGCTAAATGATTAGCGCTCAGTTTTCACTCTGCTCAGGGCTTCCACCATCAGTATCAGCTAGCAATGCCAAAATCCAAAAGAAATAAAATCGGTATGTATTCTTTGAGCCCTCTATTGACTTTTGTCTTATATCGGCAATTTTTAGTGTCGTTGACAAAGGTCGACAAAAAGACTAGAGAACACAAGTCGGCCATGATGGAAAACGTTGCAATAGTGTTTTTTACCTGAGAGATTCACACTGAAATTTTGCACAGGTAAAAGAAAATGCGGATAAATGGAAATACTGCTGGTTATTCGAAGTTGGTGCAATGCGGAATGCGCATCTCAAGACTGTTAGGAATCTTTGGAAAGAGTGCGTACACCTTTTCTTCTTTTTTCTTCTTTTTGAATACGCTCTAAATCGATGGATGTAATACAGTTCTGCACGGATATTCTTCAGCAGATCAGCTGTGCTAGCTAAGGCTCTTGGAACAACTCCAGAAGAAGAACATCGTATGGGAATACATGCTCTAGCAAAAGTGCGTATATCAGCCTTCCTTACCTGTGCAGCTGTTGCTGAAGGCTCCATTTTCCTGCAGCAAATCGAAGGTCAAGTAGGTCTATTATTCACAGACACAGAACCTCAAGAAGTCATCGAGTGGTTTGCCGACTTTTCTCAGCCTGATTTTGCACGAGCCGGCAATGTCGCAAGTCGAACCGTTACTCTACCCGCTGGACCCGTTATGCGACGCCATTCTGATCCACCAGAACCGTTCCCTCATAATGAAGACCCTCAGTTACGGAAACTCGGTCTCACGACAACAATGAACCGCGGGGTGCCGACGTTGACTGTTCCTCACAAGTTGTGTGAAAAGGGTAAGGTGCTCACGGCTGAGCAGGCCCAATTATTGAAACTTATCGGGGAGAGAATGGTTACGTTTAAAGTGGGACTCATTGCGAGGTGGGATGCTGCAAATGGGGAAGTTACCCAGATGGAAGGACCACGACTGTCCCAGGAAGAAGTTGCTGATGCTGCCATAGACGAAGACGAAGCTATGGGCGAGTGATGAGCTGGATTGTGAAGTGATGAAAAGTATACATTCAGTACTGTATTATAGTAATTCAATGTTATGCCAGCCCTGTTACCTAATTTCCAACTTGAACTCGAAGCCCACACTGCCAGTTGGTCAGGTTGCTTCCGGTCATGCGGTTCCCTTTACTGTCAGTGCTGGGATTGTCTTCCCAGGTACCACTGCAAAGCTCTCCAGGACCAGCAATGTCTACTCAAGATTCGTTCCAGTTCAAACAAGGACCCGACGTGTTTTCCCCCAAAGATCTCGTTGAACTTGGCCGTCCTGGTGTAGGAGCTGCGAATCAAGCTGGAGACTTTGTTCTCATTCCATACAGCAAGTATTCTTTTAAGGAGAAGAAGTAAGAATTGTTCCAGATTCGCCCGCTCAAGTTGACGTTGTGGATGTAGAAACAAAAAGTCGATCTTCCTGGCACCTTTGGGATATACCAACAAGCCGTATGAATTACCGGTATGTTGTTGCCCTATTGAATCCAGAATTTATATAAATTCGCGTTTTTTCAGCTGGAAAAAGTAGGCGAAGCCTTCTGGCTCACCGGCAAGACCATCGCGCACGTAGTCGAAGGAGAAAACAAGACTCTAGACATTTACGCGCTCAATGTTGTATACGTCCCCCCTAACGAGTCAGACTCTGCAGGAATCCTCAACACCGAGTCCCCTGTCCACCTAGGTTCTTTCCCCACAAACTCAGCGACCAATTTCCGGTATTCTACCGATGGCTATTTGGTCTTCTCGGACAGCGTGTATCCAGACGGGAATCTTTCGACGGTTAAGGCACAAGACGAAGCTTGGGAAGATCGTGGAACTACTGCATTGGTTTATGATCATACCTATGAAAGGCATTGGGATCATTGGGTTGGGCCGAAGGATCAATCGTTGTTCAGTGTCAAGCTCACGCAAGATCCTGACCATAAATGGACGTTTGGAAACGACTATGTAAACCTGTTAGCTGGGACTGATCATGTAAGAGAGGCCTCTCAACTATTTTTGGTCTAACTCACTGGTTCTGATACAGAGCTCGCCGGTGGAACCGTTTGGAGGTACCGATGACTTTGATGTTTCCAAGCAATCCGTCATTTACACGACGCTGGACCCGGCCTTCAAACATGAGCGTGCATGGCATACCAGGCAGAACGTAAGTGTCGGTCTTATATATCCTGCATTATTCCTCGTGTAACGCTTTGTTCAGGTATACATTGTCGACATTACAGGGTCAGGCAAAGCGCGCGAACTCACTTCAGGATCCCAAGGTGCAATCCACGGCCCCGTTCTCAATGAGAAAGCCGACAAGGCTGCTTGGTTAGAATTGGATGAAGATGGATACGAGAGTGATAGGTACGCCAACTCCGCACTTCTTTCCTGATAATCTATTAACCTAGGGATAGGGCCAAGATTGTCATTTACGACCTCAAGAAGAACGTCAGGTTTACCCTAACACAGAAATGGGATCGCTCACCAGGGTCTTTGGCGGTGCGTGTATAATTGTTTAACTCTCCATCGTTCATCTATTCATCACGCGTACAGTTCTCAAAGGAAGGAGACTTCATCTACTTCACTGCCAGCGACAATGCCCGAGTCAAAGTTTACGTCCTCCCCATTCCTCCCACCCCCGCCAAATCGACTACGGATCCCGACCTTTCCCAGAAATACCTCCACCCAGTCCCAATCGTCGAAGACGGCGCGTCATCCGGTATTCAGGCGCTGTACTACGGCCGCATCCTCATCTCCAAATCGTCTCTTACGACACCCAACGATGTATTCCTCATCAGTGGTTTGGACGCTTTGGAGAAAGAGATTTCGAAATCGGATGCACCCGTTAAGTTCGATGGGAAGATTGAGCAGATTACAAAGTTCTCAGAGGAGGACTTGAAAGGGAAAGAGCTGAGTGTAGGAGAAGATTTCTGGTTTAAGGGTGCAGAAGATCGTGATATTCAAGGTTGGATATTGAAGCCTAAGGGATGGAAGGAGGGACAGAAGAAAGCGTACCCAATTGTACTGCTCATCCACGGGGGTACGTACTGGATGGATCTTCACCTATTGCTCTTTTACTAAGGTCTCATTCCCTGACAGGCCCTCAAGGAGCTTGGGAAGATCAGTGGTCAACGAGATGGAATCCAAACGGTGCGTATCATGGCTTGTGCCGCTGTTTTTCCTTTATTCACTGATAAATGTCAGTCTTCGCTCAGCAAGGCTATTTCACGGTCGCTATGAACCCTACTGGAAGCACCTCCTTTGGGCAAGGTCCGTCGTGCGTTCCAGAAGAACAATGTTTTATTGAACTCACTCTCTACCCGCAGCTCTCACTGACGCAATTGCCGGAGACTGGGGAGGTAAACCCTTTGTCGACATGCAAAAGGGCTGGAAATACATTCTTGATCACTTCCCGGAGGTGGATGCAGACCGAGCTGTAGCTGCCGGGGCCAGCTGGGGAGGTTATGCGATTAAGTACAACTAGCGCCTTTATGATATCTCTCCGCTGAGTGACTGACTGCGATTTGTATAGCTGGATCCAAGGACACCCAGAGTATAACTTCGGCTTCAAGGTAATACACTGTCGCTTGAACTTGGAATCTGTTCTGACTAGACTCAATTCACTTTTTTAACAGGCCCTGGTTTGTCATGACGGAGTACGAATCTTTTCTTCTTCGTAACCCAATTGATCGAACGTGATTACTAGGTGTTTGATTCTACTTACAACGGATTTTCGACCGAGGAGCTGTTCTTCGTAAGTTGAATAGTCGTTTTGCGTGGAAATTGACCTTTGTTCCCCTACTTCAGTTCAATCATGACTGGCATGGAAGGTGCGTCTCGCGAGTGTAAACTTGCAAACGACGTATTGATTTCTTTGTTGCTCCCTCAGGCCTTGGGATGAGGAGAGCAAAGAGCTGTTGAAGAAGTATGTTAACCGCAAAGCAGAAAGGTGTCAGCAGAGTTCATTCGATATGATTTCTTCTAGATTCAACCCGTCAAATTTCGTTCACAAGTGGAGCACGCCGCAGCTTTTGATCCACGGATCCAAGGATTACCGACTTCCTGAGACGGAGGGTATTGGAGCTTTCCATGCTTTGCAACAGTAAGTGATGTCTCCCGCTCGTTCCTATTCTCGAACGATATTCATGCTACTCTAGGCAAGGTATCCCTAGTCGTTTGGTCATCTTCCCGGATGAAAACCATTGGGTGCTCAATCATGGCAACAGGTAAGGAGACAGTGCTTGTAAGCTGTACTCGGGACTGACCATTCATGTGCGCCCTTTTTGTAACAGTTTGAAGTGGCACTACGAAGTGTTTAGATGGTTTAATCAGTTTGTGGGTGAGAAGAAATCAGAGTAAGTTAATGGGATGTATTAAATATTTCAGTAAAGAGAAAGGCATATATGTAGTTGGAAGCCCGAGCTAGGAGGTGTAAATTATTTCCGTTTCGAGCATGGATATTCATTTAAAAAAATGAAGAGGGCCTGACCGGGAATTGAACCCGGGACCTCGTCGATGAGGAGATTTTTTAAAACTCCCTAACAACGAATCATACTCCTAGACCATCAGGCCGACGTTTATTTTTTTCTCTAGAGTGCCAACACTGGCATTGCAAGCTGGTCAGCTGATCGTTGAGTCTTCGTCATGCCTAGTCATCTATTGTCACCTTGCTTGCAAGGTCTATTCCGAACCACTTGACTCTCATTTTGTTCCCGGATCAAAATCTGATCCCGGCCGTTGCATTACCTCACCTTACTGCGGAAGCGGCAGTCACTGTCAGCCGTCTTCTCGGCAATGCCCTCTACCTCTCAAGCTGTGTCTAGGCATAAACTACGCTTGTGAGATATCCACCATTCCTCGTGTCGTCCATTGTTCCATGTGAACTCTACCTTGCTAATACAAGCAACATCATACATAAATATCAACCAGTGCCCATCCATCTACTATCGGTATCGATTGCCGGAGTCATCATTCCGCTCGCCATCTATTTCAATTTTTTCTCAGAAGAACACCTTTAAGGAGACCCATGTAAGGAGTACAAAACAACATATATCTCTATGCCATTGTCCTTCCAGATAAATCATTCTACAACTAAGTAGTTGTCTGCAAACGGCATCATCGGCAGAGCATTGCCGGCAAGTGGCAAATTAAGCAAGCGGCAAGCAAGGTGTTGGCCACGTGAGTGGGCCCATTCATTCAGTTGACAGTTCTTCAGCACTTTGGCCACTGACCACTATTTATTGCGCTTGCTGTCGACCCAATGCTCATCGTCATTAAATGCCTCCAGGAACCCCATTCAACTCTTTTGCTTTGCCCTATCCCATCCGCGTAGATGGCTTCAGCGCGATTCCTTCGGGATCAGAGCCGCAAAACGCAGCTCTTCACCTTCTTTCACATACCCATTCAGACCACATCGTCGGTCTTCAAGCCCAATCCTTCAGTCAAACCGTATACTGCTCAGCCGACGCTAAACAAATGCTTTTGCACCACGAAATCTACAACGAACGCGCTCTCCATAAAGAAGAATACCGAGCAGAACATAAATGGACTTTTCGGCATTTGAAGATTGATCCTTGGATAGGTTCGAATGGCCAGGTTAATTATCAGGGCTCGAGGGATTTGTTGAAACCGTTACCGTTGAACACACCGACTGTTATTGAGCTGGAATGTAATAGGAAAGTTACTATAACGCTTCTTGATGCAAATCACTGTCCTGGGTCTGTAATGTATGTGCAGATATCTGTTTGTTTGTTTTTCTTCTTTGTACTTTGTTTAACTAATTGCGCATAGGTTCCTCATCGAAGGTCAAGAAGGGGCTATTTTACATACAGGCGACTTTCGAGCAGAGCCGTGGTTTTTGGAGTCTATTAAACGCAACGCCTTTCTTCAACCATACCTTACCCCACTGACCGAAGACGATGCCTCTCAAGACGATGAAAACGGAGTTGTCAAGACTTTGGATGCGATATATCTGGACACGGCTTGTGTCATGCAAACCCATCCGGTTCCTACCAAAGTTAGTTGTGCAGCCTTCATTCTTGGACATACTCCAACCCATCCCATAGGAAGATGCGACTACCGGCCTAATTGCTCTTCTCAAGCTATACCCACCATCAACATATTTTTTCATCAATTCCTGGACGTGGGGATACGAAGACATCCTGAAAGCAATAGCTAGAGCGTTCAATTGTAAAGTGAGCACAACAGCTGTCGATTGACCCATTCTCATAAATTCCTGTATCAGATTCATCTGGACGACTATAAAGCCAAAATTTTCTCTCTAGTCTCTTCTGATCCTCTGCTTCGATCTTTGGGCACCACTGACGAAGATGAAACTCGATTTCATGCTTGCGAACGCTTTGATCGCTGCCCCCACGTCCGCGTCGACCGGGAAGACGATGAAGATTTAGAAGCAGCTAGTCAAGATACGATCACAGCAGCGAACCAGATGTTCTTTGGGAGCGGCACTGGCGGCTGGTCAGGACCAAAGACGAAAAATCCTGAAAAAGCTAGTAGAAAGAAAATCGTCGTTTACATCAATCCCGTGAGCTCCATGACTCCGGAGCGTTGGGTAGAATATCAAGCCACAACTAGAAAACAACTAATCAATGGAAAACTTGTTCGATCTTTGGTATGTTCTCCCTTCTTAGAGTGTTCCAATCTTAGCTCATCTCAGACTCTTTTAGCTTGTCCCACTATCACGACATTCGCCCCTCCCTGAATTACAATCTTTTGTTTCCCTCTTTCGTCCCAAGCGAGTTATACCCAACACCCTCGACCCGAAGCTGAAGAATCTCGACTGGGCTGCTATAGATGGTGTATTCCAAAGCTGCTGTCGAAAACCTACTCCAACTTTTGGTTCAAAGTCGTCTGTTGCACGTCAAATAATTCCACCTACTCCTGTCGCCGAGCACCTCTTATTTGTCGAGATAGTGAACGAGTGTAAATCAATCTCGGAACCTACAAATCTCGATGAAGAAGAGGACGATGTCGCAGTGAAGAATCTGGTTGGAGATATCTCTGGCGACGCAGATATAGAAACTCGGGCCATGGCGAGAAAATGGCTCACTAGAACGGGCCATGGCGTGGAACCGTCTATTCTAAAGGGCAGAGTTGGTCGGAGGATGGATGTTCTAAGGAGTTGGTTAGGGCTGACCAAGTGGGACGACGGCATTAAGTCGAGTCCCGTACGGCCTGCTACATTCAATACCACCAAAGAGAAGCGCAAAGCCGAAGGTGAAGCTAACGGACTGGCGCTTGGACGGGATCAGATCCGCAAGGCGATACGGAGGGAGCCTATTGTTCGGCGTCGCAACAGCAGCGACAATGAGTTTGATTCGTCCGACGACGAAGATGATGACCGCGGCCGGACGGCCCATCACTTATTTGCTACATCGGATGAACCAGGTACCCAGATGAGATGGGAGCAGTCCTCATTCTCTTTCAGCTTTAGTGATGAAGATGCTGCAGAGGTCGAAGAAAGCCTTACTTCCAATCGGGTCAGAGTAGGTTCCAGGATTGAACCTAAGAATAAAATCGGAGGAATGACGCCGAAATCCTCGCCTATGCAAGCTTCCGCCGCAAGACCAGGACCGGACAAAGGAAAGGGAAAGGCTGTCCGGGTATCGCCTACAGGCGATAAACAGCCCCATTCGCCCCATGTTGGGAAGGCCAGATTCATGACATCCACTCCGAATCGAAAGTTGGATTCTGGGTCTCAACTCTCTGCCGAACCTTTCATCTTATCCCAATCACCCAAACTACTCTTCGCTAAAGGCCGTTCGTTGCACTTTTCACCATCCTCTCCGGTAGTTTCGCCCTCAAAGAGTCCTGCCCTCCAGTCTTCAATCGCACGCCAGCGGTCTCTTAAGTTTTCGGACGAGACTATCAACCTTAGCTCACCCATTCATCTCGTTCCATCTTCTCCGTCTTCCAAGTTCCGTTCTCGCACCCGCTCTGGCGATGCAAAGCATACGCATGTTCCTACCTACGCTCAGAAGCGGCAGCTCAGCGGAAAAACCGGCATGACCACTTCATCGTCACCACCTTCGAGCCCTCTTAAAAGCAAGAAACGCGGACCCGAAGCTATCGGAGTTACTCATATCAGTATTGAGAGACCCCAGAAGCGTCTCAGAGAAACATTCATTCCGTCCGTTGTTAATTCGACTAAACCGCTCAAGGAGGTGAAGAATATCCCCGAACGTCCTACTCATCATCGAGAAAAATCAATCACATCTTCTTCTACCAGCTCCAGTCAAAACGCGTGCGCTGTTGTCGGCATCTCTAGTGAAAAGAGTGCAGAACCTAATGGCGGTAAAGAAGCCGAATTTTTATCGGATTCTAACAGTGGCTCCCTAGTGCCGGTGCACAGTCCACCGACCAGCGGAAGCAAATCGCCTGCGCGAAAACGTCCATGTCTTTCCTCCCATCGAAGCAAATCGGAGCTCCTCTTTATGCAGCTAGATTATGCTCAAAAAGCCGCCAAAGCCCGACCACACCGTGTCTTGTCTACCTTTGAAGCGAAGCGTGTTGAGCTAGAGTCGCGCGCAGGTACTCTGAAAACGAAAGAGATCAATGCGATCGACTATGCTGCGGCAAATATTGCATTGAGACGAAGGAAAGCGGATGAGTTTGAGAAGAGTCTTCTGGATGCTCCAGAGCTGACGAGAGGAGTTGAAGGAGTAGATTGGGAGCAAAGTAGGATCCTACAAAGGCGAGCAACGGAGGATATCCAGAACGGAAGGAAACCGACGTTTCCAAGGCTGCAATGCGTACAGAGTTTGAGTAACGATGATTTGTGAGCTTTCCAGGAGTAACGGATCATAAACTACGAAATGCTTATAGTAGAAATACACTTGGAAACACTCTATAAATGGGTAATTTACTCTATAGCTGGATTAAGTGGTTGCGTGAATGGGGAAGACCTTGGACAGAGAGAATAATATACAAACTCCGCTGCAGAAAGGTCTTTGACGTCATTTACCGCTCGTGAGTGACTCGCTATCGGCTATTCGGTGGAACTGGGCGCCCGTAGGAAACCGATACGGGTCCAATAATCCACGGACAAGGCAGCTTCTTCCGGTGAGAGGGGTTTTGCCTGACACATCGCCGACGATACCTGGCGAGTCTTTGAAACGTCGGCAACATGTTCTCCGAATAAGGCCTGGCGGAAGAAGGGAAGCAAGGCCGTAACTCCGGTGGCCGTTTTGCCGCCTATGGCCAGGGATTCCAAAGACTCGAGCCACTGGCTGTAGGGAACCAAAGGAAGACCCAGCCGCTTTGCGATTCCTCCGAAAGCTGTATCCCATGGTACTGGCAACGGCGATGTAAGATGTAATACGGGCTCTTGGATAGACGACTTGACAATGTCGATTAGGACAGTTGCAGCAACGTCAGCGCTGAACCATGATACGGTCTACAGTAGTATATGAGAGCCAGAGAGACGCTAGAGGATAGAAACGCATACCTCGTCCCTACTAGGAACGCTTCCTAAGGTTTGACTCAAGGAAACCATAGTAGGTACCCATTCCTGCTGCCCCCATCCTCCAACCTTCGTATCTCCGGACAGCTGC